AGAAATTGATCTTCAGGATTCAGGAGATTCTTACTTGGATGTTGGCTTCCTTTTGTTCTGTTCTCTGTCAAGATGATAACAAACTGCTTCAATAACGTTGCAGGAGGCCAATCAATGACTGGTAGCGTTCAGGTGTGTTTTTCACCCTGCTATGATTTTACTGCATTGGCAATATGTTTGGTATCAATGTCATTGCTCAGAAATAAAGACACGGTCCTTTCCCGATGGTATTACATGTTGGCAAATAAAAATTCTCGACGCCACTGCTTGACATGCAACTCCAAACCACGATTTAGCCTCAGCTTTGTTCCGCAGATGGCTGTAGACACTCACTGTTGTACCGCTCTCCTCTGATAATAATTTAATGTACAAAAATGTACATTTGGATTCATCACTTCATCAGACCTGTTGCCACTGATTTTCAGTCCAGTTCTTGTCTAATTTTGGATCCCTCAGCCTTTTCTCCCCATCTCCCCTCTCTAGAGATTAGCCTATTGACAGCCTAACCCTAACCCTAACCCCGAACAGACAGATGAACTGAAGGGCCTGATGCATCTCTCAGGTTCTGTTTCAGGTCTTTCATTGATTTGTTTGGGATATTTCTCAAGAATATGACTTCCAGAAGCTGCGGATAGTTGTTTAGACCTGTCACTTCTTTAGTTGTCCACACTGTCCAGCTTCCTCAAACTTAAGGGCACACTGTACATCATGGAGGTTTCATGCTGATATCTTGATACAAAAATGCTATTTTATATAATTTAAAATCATTTAAAATAGTTTCTTTGCCAAGTTGTCATGTTATGTGTAAGCACATGACTGGTTCATCCATGAGTCACAGGTTAGTGTAAGAAGTTTAAACTCCCCGGAAGGACATCACTTACTTTGAAACCAAAGAAAATAAATTATGTGCCATTGTCAATCTTAATATCTTACTCGGGAAATTCCACATACATAAATGTAAATTTCAAAACTCAATCCCAATATTTAGCTTGTTTTTAATTGAAATTGAATATTACTTAAACTCTCTTAAATGAACTTCAAATTAAAAAGGTTTATCATTAATTGAAATTCATCCAGAAATTTTCAACAAATGAGCTGTCACAGATATAATTTTCAAGCACAAAGCTATTATGAAGTCTGTCACATCCCTTTTTTTCTTCTTTATTTATTTACCCTTCCTATTTTCATTTTCATTGTATTGCTTATTGTTACTCTTATTTGCCCTGAATGTCTACTGTACAAACTGAACTGGAATGACCGACTGTTCACTTTACAATTTCAAATAAAGTTCTGAAAAAACGAAACAAAACCTCCCTCCCTTTCGTGCTTCCTAATTCTGTCCGGCAGGTGGCGCCTCCTGTCTGTGTGACTCCTGTGCGCAGCTGCAGGAACATTGTATGCGGAAGCGGTGTCTAAGCAGAAACGTGGATCGCTTTTAAAGTTATTACAGCTTCATCAGCGGTTTGATGCCATGAAGATAAACGAGAACACTTTACTGGAGGGACACAGAGTCGTGCTGGTTCCTTACAACGTAAACCACGTGCCCAGGTAACGTGAACAGCTGTTAGCGGAAGCGATCCCCGCATCACAGCTGTTTACTGTCCTCTCCCCCCTTTAATTCCTCTTCTTATCGCCACTTCTTGTTACAATGTGTGTGTCTCTTTATGTGACAGTCTTTTAGTGCTAAGTATAAAACATTTGTTTACAATAACATTTCCAACTGCACAAGGAAAGGCAATACAAAGAATAAAGATAGTTTAATCCGTTTAGGTCATATTTACTGCTTAATGACACATTATTTGTCTTTAGTAAAGAGTATGTTTTAAGGCAGAGGTATCAAATATGTGGTCTTCCAAAGGCTTTGCGAAGTGTGAAACCTGCAAAAAAGAGGCATAATCTTAGCCTTTTCTCTGCTTTTGCACTATTAACTATTGTGTTGCAACTCGTTAAGATGTATTGCACTATAAGAGTGTTTCTAAACTGTTCATCCCCCTAAATGAGTGTTAGAGATAACCTGTCATATAACACTGAAATAAAATGACTGAGCCACACAGTCATGCAGATGCTTTTCTCTGAGTTCTCATTCAGCTCATCGTATGTTTTTCCATCGGATGCTTCTTTAAATGTGAGTGTGGCTGTAAAAGTTAGTTAAATAGTTTGTCATGCAGCAGTTTTATTGACATAGCCAGCTGGAGAACTCCTGAACAGGTTGAGCCAGAAACAAGATGCATATCTGCCACAATTGTCTCCTATTATAGCCTTTTTCACAGCAAAATCACAAATACCTCCCATATCATATCTGTATTAAAACATATAGTTCATAATTAATTCTGGCAATAATAGATTTTTCTCAACCCATTATTTATTTATTTTTTATTATTACAGCAAATGTTTCAATTTCTGAGTAATTTAGTTTGATCATAGTAACCAGCTGTCTTTGTTATTTCATATTTCCTGGGCGTCTTTATTAGTGAGTTTAACTTCATCCAGGTATCACGAGTGGATGAAGTCTCCGGAGCTGCAGCAGCTGACCGCTTCAGAGCCGCTGACCCTGGATCAGGAGTACGACATGCAGAAGAGCTGGAGGGAAGATGACGACAGTGAGGAGCCATCAGTAGACATGATAGGAAAGCAATGCCGAGAAAAGCATTTTCATTGTGTTTGTGTGTTTTTATGTTGCCTTTCCAGAGTGCACGTTCATAATTTTGGACAAGCAGCGGTGGGCAGACCCCAGTGTGGAGGAGGAGCAGTGCATGGTGGGAGATGTCAACATCTTCCTGACTGATCCAACAGACCCTTCGCTGGCTGAGCTGGAGATCATGATAGCAGGTTCTTAAAAACATCTATAAGAGAGTAACCAGTGCATTTTTACATGCTCGGTGCAGACTTTTTGTTCAGTTGTTACATTGTTTTGATTCTGTGATAAAGAAGAAGAAGTGTTTTTTATCGTTTGTTTTTTAACAGAGCCCAGTTACAGAGGCAAGGGCGTCGGAAAGGAGGTGACACGTATGATGATGTGCTATGGTGAGGCAGCCAGAACAGTCTGTCAGACTTTTAAAGAGTTCTGTATGGAAATGAAAGATTTTTTCAGCCTTTTTTAAAGTACTGTAGACAGTACAGTACAGTTTTTACATTACATTTGTAAAAAAACAGTTATTTTATGGTGGTGATCAGCGTGTTTTCCTCCATCAGGAGTCACCAAACTCGGGGTCAGAAAGTTCCAAGCAAAGATCGGACTGGAGAACCAGGTCAGCATCACCATGTTCAAGAAGCTCCACTTCCAAGAGGTAACCAGATCTCACTGTGTGGAATTGTGGATATGCTCTATAAAATAAACCTTTTGTTTGGGAATTTAATACAAAGTCGTCTTGCTTGCTGCAGGTGTCGCAGTGTGCAGTGTTCAAAGAGGTGACACTCGAGCTGACGGTAGATGAGTCCGTTCGGACGAAGCTGCTGGACGATGCAGCTCATATGAAGGAACGAGATTACAGACAGACCTGCAGCCGCGGACATGAACTGCTCTCAGAGTGAGGTTCTGTACTGAGCTTCTCACTCACCTTCTAAAGACTTCAGCTTGTGAAGCAGGATGACGTGACAGGATGACATGTGAATCTGAAAACTTGCAACAGAATCCTTTATTCGAGTCACAAGAAATGTTATTTTCTGTCACATAGTGGCAAAAATATTCTGATTATAAGACAAACAGAGGCAGACAAGGACAAAGCCATACCTCATTATACAATTTTAAATAAGGAAATCCAGAATCACAATAGAGTTGAATGGGTTCTTCCTTTTTGGATACGCTTCACCAGGTTTGTGGAATTCCTCTTGGTGGTTTTGGCGTGATCTTGCTGGCTGTTGGACTTTGCGGAGGAAAAAACCTGCAAATTGTAACCTGAACACTGTTGAAAAACAAATGCATAGGTTTGAATATGACATCACACTTTCATCCTCACGCATCAAATCGTGTACTGTAGTCGAGACATTGATTTAACCGTTGTCATCTCCGACCCGAGGAGTAAAATGAAATGAAAGATGCTGTGGCTGATGTTTCTAGTGGAGCTGGTTCACTTTATATTGATTGTGTACCACCTTAGCAAACTAGAAATCACTTGCCAACGCAATGATTTGTTTTTCTCTATCTATAAACCAAGTTAATATCTCTAGTGTCCTTTGTTTGGAGAAGATTTACACTTAAAATTGAAAGGTGATGTTTTTATGTTTGGTTCAGTATTTCTATTGACCAGTTCTGACTTTTTGAAACAAAACTTCAAATTGCACGGTGGCACGGTGGTTAGCACTGTTGCCGCACAGCAAGAAGGTCCTGAGTTCAATTCCACCATCAGGCCCGGGTCTTTCTGTGTGGAGTTTGCATGTTCTCTTTGCGTGTGCGTGGGTTCCCTCCGGGTACTCCGGCTTCCTCCCACCGTCCAAAGACATGCAGCTTGTGGGCATAGGTTAATTGGATAATCCTAGGTGTGAATGTGCGAGTGAATGAGAGTGCGAATGGTTGTCTGTCCCTGTGTGTTGGCCCTGCAACAGACTGGCGACCTGTCCAGGGTGTACCCCGCCTCTCGCCCTATGACAGCTGGGATAGGCTCCAGCGCCCCCCGCGACCTTGAAAAGGAGAAGCGGAAGCGAATGGATGGATGGATGATGGTTTTAGTCACCAGCTTTCAGCAGCATTAGGCGCTACTTCTTTTTAATTATTCACTCTGTCCCCAGAATGAAATTAAGAGCTTTTTTCCACTTACTGATACACAGCCATTAAAAACCACAGCCTAATGTGTTATTTACACATCTCTTATACATTAAAGTCTCATATTCCTCTTAATGTCACATATTTTTCTTAATTTTGTTGCTGAAAACTGGTTGGTGTCAAACATTAAATGCCTGCTGCGGGAGCTTTATTGCCATGTTTATTTTCATACTTCATACTCCTAAATCTCACTGTCCTCCTATTCAGTCAACAACAGACATTCATGAGGTCTTGAGATTCAGGAAAAAGGACTAGATGTTACAGTCCCTGATAGTGCATTGCTTTAGATGGAGAGACTCTTGAGGGATGGCTGTCATGAGGAAAGGCCGCCCAGAAACTTTTCCAGCAGCACACATCGTTGTGTGCCTCAACTTTCGGTCTTTTACCCAGGCTAATCTGCCATTTTCCTTCCTTGGTTAGGTTTAGGGATTAGAGATCTGATCTAGATTATCATTTTCAAATTTAGGACACATCGTCAGTAGTGGATGTGGACCTTGGATTCATCGGGTGTTTCGGCCATTATCACTAGACACCCTCATATAAGGAGGCCCTGCCAGGGTTGATCAGGCCCTGGAGCGTGTCATTGGTTTATGTTAAATTGTTATTTCTCTTCTCCTTTCTTCTGTTTAGTTTCCTACAGTTTATTTTCGATCTATTCACTGCCACTGAGAAATAATACTTATCTCTTTAGCATTTATGGAGCCTAAATTCTTCAAAGGGGTAGAAAAGGTGACAGAGAGAAGTGACACAAAAGGGACAAAATAGGAGAGAGCAGAGAGGAGAGCCGGAAGGGGGGCGCCCAATCTGGCTTCCCACACCTCCCCGCCGGATCGGGCTGTACGCTCCACCTCCCCACTGCCTCCCAGAAAAGGGAAGAAGAGCAGAGGGGAGAAGAGCAGAATATGAGATCATAACTAACAAACCAATTAAAATTTTCCTCTTCTTCTCCTCATCAACTTCAGTTAAGTCGTATCATTACTATGTGATATTAGCACAAGTGTGCTACAAGCTAATGCTAGTCTACACCTTAACCCTGGAGAACCCATGGGGTCAAATTTGACCCCATGGGTTCTCCAGGGTTAAGGGAGTCCTGCAGTTAGGTCCATAAGTTTTTGGACATGTCATATTTGTGATTTTTGTCCCTGTACACAACCACAGTGGATTTCATATCAAAGAGCAGAGATGTGATTGAAATGCACGCTTTCATCTGCATCCACCTTCAGTTTCTGCTTCTTTGTGGGTCTTTCAGCCTTTAGTAACTGAAAAGCATGCTACACTGGGTTAAGATCATGTGACTGACTGGGCTATTGAAGAATGCAATCCAGATGTTGATGATGTTGTGGTTTGCTCCTTCTTAAACTGTCAGGATTTCCTTTTTTATAAAGACATCTGTTGATTGCTGACCTTCCTCTGTGAGGGTGCTCTTGGACAGATATTGTGAAAGTTTTTTCCCATCAAGTTTAAGACTTGAAATCAACTCCAGATGAACTCCAGATTTATCTGCCTAATTTGTCATTAAATAATGATGGAACAGGCCTCATGGAGCTATAAAATGGATTACTTCTGAGCCCTTAAAATAGGGAAAAGATATATAAAAATTCTTTTTTCAAAGTTACCCTCCAAAAAAGTACTTTTCCCAAAAAACATGGACCTAACTGAAAATCAGATTGAAGTGTGGCTGCTTGAATGATTGTTACGTTTCTTTCAGTCTTGTTTTGTTAGACTCTCACTGAGTACTTGTTTTTTTTTTTTTTGTTTTGAAGAATTGCTACATTAACTTCAGTTGTGACACCAAACCTTTAATTGAATTTCCTTCCAACCCTATTTTGGAAAATCAGATTTAGGAAACATGAACCGCCACTAAAGGCACTTCCCACCCATTTTCTTTCTTTTTTTAAAAAACGTATTTGTTGCGGTTTCCCAGACTTCACTCACGCAGAATGGACGTATTAGACAAAAAGCTAATGGATGGCAGCTAAAACAGAACGCTTTGTTGGTCAAATTAGGTGGTTTATAGTCTCAGGTTTCAATTGTCCAAGGAGTGCATTCTGAGTAATGTTTTTGGTATTGTTTGCAATTTCTAGCTAGTTTAGTTCAGTTTTAGTCTAGTTTTGGAGAATGGCTCTAACAGCACAGAGTCCCCTGAGGTGTCTTAGTGCAGCTGTAAAAGTGGATCAAGATGGGGTTTTTTTTAAACACTAGCAATGATCATCAATGGTAACTTGAATATGAGCATTATAGTTCTTTTTTGACCTTCTAAGCTGCATTTCACCACCAAGCCCATCCTGGTGCTTTAACATATAACATACCAAATAATCACATGAGCTCCACCTCTTTGTCACATTGATGTAATAAAGTCAGAAGCTCCAGAGAAGCTACATTCAGGCTCATTACACACTGATTCTCTATTACTTTCTCCATCACCTGAGTACTTTATGTTTCACAACATTTTACAACAATGTTAAACATTTCACCAAACTACAAAACCCAGAAAGCCAACTCTCCAACTTGTTGGGGTTATAACTCTAAAAAAATGTGTCAGCATTTACATAAATGACCAGGATGTTGACCATTTCTTCTATTCCATATTGCACAACCTTCAACACTATTTTGAATGCTATGCTAAAGCTGAAATACGTCGAATTAGCAGAGGAGAGATGAAACTTAAAAAAAAAAATGCATAGTACGAGTCCTGCCTTTATTTATTGCCCAAAGTATGTCTGCAGCTAATATCATGAAATGGCAGTGCAGAGACTGAACACTATATTTTACATTAACAAAGACAAAACTAGACCTGAACCTATTGACAGCATTTTCTTGTCACCAAGGTGTTATTCTGTCACAAATAATATACGAGCCAAATATGTTTTGCAGCGCATTTAATTATGCCGACAGGAAAATTACACAAAGAACAGATTTTTTTTAAAAAAAAGGCTTTTTATTTACACTGCTAATTCAATATGCACATTGAACTAGCAGTCTTGGGGGTTAGATAGACATAGATAGACATGCCACGCTCTTAAAAACAGCACACCACTCTTTCAATAAAGTGACGCCAAATTCCCAACTAAAGAGGTTTGAAACAGAATATCTGAATGAGTTTTATTTGTCCTTCACCGCTGCATCTGAATTAAACATTCATTTATTGCGACAGTAGCAAAGCTTGTTTATTGGTAGTCCAGTTTAAAGACAAATTTACAGTTTGTACATTGTTACTGAAAAATTAGGTCTGCGAAAAATACTCACAGTTGGGAAGCAGGAAAAAATCTGAAATGATACAATCTGTGCAGGATTTATGAAAAAAAAGTGTTATCAAGTTTAAAATGACCTGTTGTATTAGAATCATCACCATTGGCTGAGCTTTAATTTATATCAGAACTGAAATTATTTAGTATTTCTAAATTTGCACATTGAGCTTTCAAGGTAAACGTTTGTTTTCTGATTTGCTGGTGTTGTTTATTATAAACGCACATAAAGGAAACAGAGCTTTATAGTGAAATGGAAGACATCGAATTCAATCTTGGAAGATGGTTGTTGGGCCACTGGATGGAGGCCATCCTGTCCTACTGATAAAGATCTCTACCTATGACATTCATACACCATCAAAGTAATGAATTACACTTTCTTTATTTATTTGTGCAGACAGATTTCTTGCACGTACTACAGCAGCATTTATTTATTGTGCAGAAAAACCGAGATGTGCTGTTGAAATTGCCCTTTTCTTTTATTAAACAGGATTAGATTTGTGGTTAAGCAACTTTACACCGTCAGAAAGGGGATTTTTGCTCTTGTTAAAGATCTGGAAGCAGGAAACATGTACTAAATGAGATATTTTGCTCTCTGCTGGATAATACCGACACTTTTTCTTAACTACCTCTGATATCTTTGGTATTCGTGTGACTGAAAACGTTTTACCGGCTGAGAATATAAGCTGTGACAACATAAAATCCACTTCTATCATTTGAACTCCAAAGTGCAAAATTAAGGAGGGTTGACTATATGGCTGGAAAGGCTTTGTATTGACACAGCTTCTACTGCACATGCTCAGACTGCCTAATCTAACACTGGCAAATGGACAACTGTGACTGGCAGCTAACATGTGACTGGTGCAGCACAGACAGGGCCCCCTGACACTTCACTGAACGTCTCTCAAATACAGCCTGTGCTCCGTGTAATGCACAGAAAACAAACCAGCTGGCTGCTGGTCAAAGTGCAAAACATGGTCGACAGGGAGACATTTAGGATGATTACTTCTTCTTCTTTTTTAAAAAAACACACTGCAGTACAAAGAGGGTACAAGAGAGACAATTCCATAGGAATTTAAGATGGTTTTCACACCTGTTCCATTGTCATTTATCTGTACAGACCTTTCACCTCCCCAGCATCACAAACATGGTAAGGAGATGCAGGGTTACCCACTTTAATGAGACTCATGATTTCTCATATTTAAAAAACAAACAAACAAAATCCCTTGGTTCACAGGTGATAGTGGAAAACCTGGAACTCTGAGCTTTGATGGAGGCATGAGTATTTAGTTCTTAGATGTTTGTGTGGATTCGAGAAGCTCTTTCGCTGCAGTCGACAGATTCTGCACCAGCTGTCTGAGCACAACCTGCTGCTCTTTGGCCCAGGATAGGCCGTCGTCCACTGCGGCGTTTATCGGCAGACAGAAAGCTTCCTTTTGCAGGTCAGTCAGGCGACAGACAGCGGCGACTCCGGCCAATCCCACGAGCAGCAGCAGAAGGAGCTTGAAGATCAGACCAATGACAGAACGGCGAGGTTTAGGCTTAGACTCCACAGCGACCTTTTTATCTGCTGTAACGAAACACATGTTTGATATCAGAGTGACTCATCAAACCAGAAATCAAAGATTTTCTGACCACTTTGAGTGATTTGTGCATTTCAAAGAAAAAGGCAAAAAAGAAAAGGTCTGTTACAAGCTGACTAAAGTCTTCAAACATAGATACGGATACTTTCTATTTCAATAGATTTACCACCTGCTGCCTGTCCGTTCTTCTTCTTCTTCTCCTCACTTTTCTTCTTCTGTTGCTCTTGTGCAGCCAGTGCTGCCTTCTGAGCATTGTACTCTTTCCTCCTCTTCTCCTTCTCCTCTGCCTTTTCCCGTTTGCGAGCCTCCCTCTCTCTGGCCTCCCGCTCCCTCTGCTTCGCCTCCCTCTTCCTCTCCAGCTCTGATTAAAGGATGAAGGAAATGTGGCCAAAAGAGATGCAATTACACAGATTTATTCCTGCTGGGACATTATAAGCTTGTATTTCAGGGAGCTTTTTCCTGCTGTCCATAAATGAGATGAAGTGCATTTACTTCTTTTCACAGCGGCAACAAGACTCCCATTAACAACGATCCTCTCGGTCTGTTGTTTGCGATACTTTTTCAAATAATCCAGAACAAAAACAACCCACAAAATTATTGTGCGAGTCTGCACTAACCTTTTAATACATTTATCTATCTGAAAACTCTTGAGTTTTAACAATAATAGATTTGAGTGGTGGAGCAATGCATGAATGAATGAATGAATTCATGAACACACTTTACAGTAAAGTCGTAAGTATACTTTTCCTTGTTTAATTTTTCCTGATGTCTGCTTTTTAGATTCATACTATTTAGACTTTTTGTATTTTAAACCCAAACTAGGAACAGGTATTGTAAACATAACATACTTGTGCCTGTGTAAAAATAAACTAGCGTACTAGCAGTCTTATTTTACACATCATTCTGTGTCACTGCAACTTTTAACCATAATGTTTTAATAGTAAGAACAATATTAATTGTGATAGAATTCACCCTCAAAGTCCCACATTTTCATCAGAATTATTTTTTATTTATTTATTATTTATTTTTATTATTATTATTTTTCCTGTTTTTGGGTTTTTTTTGTTTTAATAGCACTTCTGTAGTATTAATTCTATAATCCTCCATTTTTATTCAGTCAACATTTTCAAATCCTTTTATAGTCTGTTCCAAGGGCACAGTGAGACTCGTGCTTCATTAATGTACATCAATCGGTGTGAATACTAATGGTTGATAAGATCTAAGTTTCCTTACTGTACACAGAGCATTTTAAATGTGCTTTTTCATAATTTCTACAACCCTGGGTCTCAGTAAGAAATACTTAACTTCACTGTATTCCACTGCATTTGTTTTTTTAAAGCTACAGATGACGTTTCCGCTACATTTCACACAACTTCAAAAATGTGTTGTTTGTGTGGACGATACACAGGATAGATATGTTCCTGTAACACTTGGGGAGGATATGACCCCACTTTGCAAATCAGTTTCTTTTAATGTATCAAACAGTATCTCAACCAAACGCAACAGTATACTTGTTAGTTTAAAATAGCTTTTTTTCCTCCTAGTTATTACTTTTTTGAAGTTCTCAAATGATTATGTTGCCTACCTTTTTCTCTTAAAAGTCGTTTCTCTCGAGCATGATCGACCTCCTCCTGAATGGCTCTCATGTGCTGCAGAACCTAAAAAAAACCCACGATCTTTAGTTTTGGACGCATTTATGGTAATATCATGTGTCAATTTGCTGACTCATCATTCTCTGTCACCTTAGTGGCGCACTGTTTGCACTGTTTCTCATCCAGACAGTCTCCTGCTGCCTTGGCCAGGCCAAGCTCCAGTGGGTTATCCTTTAGGTCCAACCATTTGAGACTCTGAACACAAAGACACACACAGAAAGAGCTAAAACTGAGCTTGGGAACCTCAACAACCACACGCTTTACACCTTGTAATTACAAAGTAAGAAAACAGCAAGTTATCAGCAGCAAAGGTTAACAAAAAAGCAAAGGATTTTTGTTTAGAAACACATATACTAGCTTCTTCCTGAGATTTAGGAGATTTACATCCAGTAGCTCAAACTCTGGCTATGAATTTAGCTCTTTACGCTAAGCTAAGGCTGCTGGATGAGGCTAACTTAAACAATGGATGCACATCTATCAAAGAACACCCACCCTGAGCTGAGAGAAGCTCACTGGCAGATTTGTCAGCTTATTGTTGTACAGATCTAGATGCTGAAGGTTCATCAGGTTCCCCATGTCATCTGGCAGACTGCTCAGCTGGTTTTTACTCAGATCTACCTTCACTAGGTGGGTCAGGTTGCAGAACTCTGGCTGCAGGAGGATAACCCAGTCAAAGAGACACACAGCAGTTATAAACATCCCAGCTCATTCATTAAGACATTTGAATGCATGCAGGGTAATTCAACTTGTCACTCCCAGAGTTTCAGAAAATGCAAGTTACTGAAAATACTTCACTAAAGCAAGAGTGATTACTTTTTAAAACAATGAAAAAGTAACTAAGACAAAGAAATACTTAAAACATTTGAAGATGATCAATTACCTAAAAATATAAAATAATTTTGACCTCTAAAACTTCTCAAACAAATAATCTTTGCAAAAAATTGTATTATTAAGAGCATCAACTTGATCAAAAACAAACAAAATGTTTAATCTAAGTGTTCAATACTCACAGGAAGGGAGGTAATGTTGTTACAAGATAAGTCCACAACTGTTACTTTGGGGAACAGGGCCTATTGGAAAACATCACATTACAAGTCAAGTTTGACATTAGTGGCAGGTAATTATTTAACAAACATTTTAACCAAGAAACAGAAATGGGAACAAACCACAGCAGAGTAACGGTGAGTGTAAAACTACAGTATGCTTTGAAGCAGCTGAGTAACTTACCAGCTCCCTGACTGGCACCTCAGTGAGATTACACAAGCTCAGGTCCACTTCATTCCCACTGATTTTATCCTTCAGGTTCAACACTTTGCTGTTTTTACTCATTCTGGAGTCTGTGGTGAGTAAACACACATCACAGGGACTGTGACAAAGAAATACTGACATGAGTGGCCAGTTTCTGTAGTTTTTTACTGCAGATACTTCTGAACTAGCAACAGGAAAACCCTGCAATGTGAACATTTTACGCGACCTGCTCACCTGTTTCGACAGCTGCGGCACAACTGTGTTAAAAAGTGAAAAACGACGAAAGAGAGCGACGGATTCACCTTGTAAATGTGGTTAAAATGCGTTAGAAGGAGAGCTCTATAAGGCTGGAGAAACTGCTTCTGGCAGCACTGACTGCTTCAATGAAAATCCACGTCACTAACTGAGCGACAATACGGAGATACTGAAGCGAACAGCGCCCCCTGTAGCAACGGAGGAAACAGCGCACTGCAACCAGTGCTATCTTTGATCTTATTCTTAAAAGTCATAATATACTAAATTATAAATGATGAATATAATAATATGCATGTATTAAATAAAATATAAATTGTGAATAATAATTATAAACAAATTAAAATAGTTAGTGTGTGGGGGCAATAGAAATGGCAGTTATATTTGATATGTCAATCCATGCTTCTCTTTTTGACATACCTCAAGTGCAAAAGAACCCAAACTTCAGCATCTTCTCTTAAATTTACATAGGTGTGAAATTAAGAGGCTTAAACTGATTGTACAAGAGGAAGCTTTAATGAAAAGTTTTGCAATTGTGCAACATTTCTAATGGAAAAATTAATGAAAGAGTCCCTTTAGCGCTGAGCCCAAAGACAAATTATCTACTATATCTTTCACCAGGCATCGCTATTAAATTGAATGTTGAGAAATTATGTAATTCAGAATTTGTGAAAATTTACATTGTGATTTGTAAAGTGTCTTGTACACATTTGCTGATAAAAAAAAAAAAAAAAAAAAATCCACCACCTGCAACTTTTAAAATACAACATCAAGAAATAGCCAGAACCAATGTTTTATCAATGCCAACCTTCTAGAAATTGGCAATAGTCTAACACTGCACCAAATTTTAAATATATTATATAATAAGAAGAAGAAGAAAGAAGAAAAAGTATTTACCATTTTGGATAGTTACAGCGTGGAGGTAGATCTCTCTGGACTGCACACTCACCCACACACATACACTAAACAGGAACACTTTCCTTAATTCTCTGTGACACACATTTAGACATTGCTCAAATATTTTGGTTCATATTAACATGATAGTAGGACAAAGTTGCTGTCGATTTGTCAGCTGGACATCCATGATGTGATAATGTTTCAATACATCCCAAAGGTGCTGTGTTGATTGGCTGGTTATGTTTGATTGGCTAATTTAGACATTTACAACAACAAGCAGTTAAACAAGTGTACCTCATAAGGACCGCTGATTGTACATTCCAATTTCCATTTATTTTACTTTTTTCATTTGATCATCTTTGATACATGCTCTTGGTTAGTTTTTTGGTTGTTATAGAAAGACATAATGACTACGCATTAAAAGAGCATACAGTTGTAAATGTGCACATAAAGCAGCAGTAGCTACATTGTTTTACATTCCCACAGATGAGCTTTTAACTCGATTTGTCAGCTACACTTACAAAACACTAGACTTTAAATAATTAATTGTGTACTTAAAGAATAAACTGAGCCTTTCACATCAAAAGAGTGTAATACATACAGTAATGTATAACAGGTCAGTAAATGTTAGATGCATCAGATGTGACAAAATTGACCTAACTGGCCTATTCCTTGGTTTAATCCAAAGGAAATGAACTACAGGTGTGAACAAAGACCACACATAAGTACATGTAATCAGCAATATTTATAATTATTCTAATTATTCTAATTATTCTAATTATTCTAATTATTATTATTATTTCATTGGACTTTAGAGATACTAGTCTTCAGCAGTTCTCCACAATAAAAACATAGTTCCTAAAAATACAGTGACTGCTATGATATAGCAAATTAAGAAAACCCTGTTGATGACTTTAACCATTCTGGTCCAGTAGCCGGATTTCTCCTCTTTGCTCCCATTGCTGTTGAGCAGATTCACCGTTTTCTCAATCCTCTCCAGCTCATCTGAGATCTTTTCCATATCAAATGACATCTCCATCAGTTTGTTGGTGCTACCCTAATGTGGTTTTGTAGAAAGGCAATTAACAAGGTTTTAGGCCATATATGGTCTATTAGTGGCTGCTACATGCAATAAACATTTTTTGCCTTCTAATGTAATTTTTTTCTCATTCAGTATAGGGATGTATTTCTTCCATGCATATAATAGCTGTTGTACTTTAATCTAACCTCTTTGGTCACAGGTGGTGCTTCATCAGTAGCTGCATCATAGACAGATGCACAGTGAATGAATTTTGTCACGTCTAAAGGACATACAGAACGCCACACCATTAGAATGATACAAACAATCAGTGTATAGTAAGCTCTGAAACAGTCTGAGCTTGTAAACCGTACCTACACATACAAACCTGCAAGGGTAATAGAGGTTTGTATGATAAGCTTATATGATACTATGGGACAGCATACCTCTAAAAGAGCACTGAAAGTTGGATTTGCCCTGTTTGTCCCCACATCTCTCAGTCAGGCTTTGGTCCCCATTTGTCTCATTGTGTTGGGCTGTTGAGTCTTTCTCAATCAGATACATCACCAACATTGTCTCCAGTAGGCTGAGCAGCATGAGAGCAAAAATTCCAATACAGTAGATTGCTGAGGAGAGCAGACAGCATCAATAAGATGGAGAAGTAAATAATTATTGAGTCTGTAAGCCAGATTAACCAACAGTCTACAGCAGCACATAACCATTTTTTAAAGTTAAAAACTGCCATTGGTGTCTACTAATGAAACATTGTATGAATTTTGCAGTTTTTTAATTTGTATTTTATTCTTTTCCTTTTCAGAGTGCAACATTTTGAGAGTAGAGTATTAAAATCATACAGATATGACTTATTAAGGTTTGCACAACAATTAGCCCTGCAAAATAAAATAAACACTCATATACTGGTAAGTTTGTTTCTTTATGTGAAATGCCAGGGGATGTATAATTGACATGATTGGACTGCTCAAAGCACTAACTGTATTGGCTGTGTACTGGTAATTTGATGTGATACAACAGAACTTAACTGAAGTGAAATTAGACTGGAGCACTAGAGTGAAGGCCAGAATCCCAGTAATGACACATAATGTGTTGAGTCAGCAAAGTTACTTGTTGTTACAGTGAGATGAGCAGCTTGAAGTGTTTTGCGGGTGGATCAGTACATCTTTGGTTGCTTTGGTCATTATTAAAATTAATTGTGTTTTAAAACAAATAACTCAGTGATAAAAGATCTCAACTCTGCATTAAAACTGGTGCACTATGCACAGTCAAACAAAGATTCAGCTGCATTACCTATAAGTGGAACCTTGTTTGAAGAGCAGGGCAGAATCTCATTGAGAATAAGTTGCATCACTGTGACAGCGAGCAGGACAGTGATCTTTAAGCCCAGTTTCTCGCCACCACTGTCTGAGATCAGGAAAGAAGCCAAGTCCAGAAACAAGAAGAAGAGGACTGGCAGCAAGAAATTGACAATGTAGAGGACAGATCTCCTCTTCATGGTAATCTGCCAAATTTTATGTCAGATGGTTATGTTGGATAGAGGGAACTATACATATGCTAACAAGATAGCCACAGAATGACAAGTAACAATATCAAACATTTTCTTTGCTGCAATAAACAAAAATTATGTGACAATGTGCAGTAGCAAAAAGAATATTATATTCAGTTCAGTTCATTTTTATTTCAAACATGTGCCTTCACAATCATTACAAAATATTATTCAGTTCTTTTGTTTGAAAAGGAGTAGGCAGAAGTATACACTTATTAGTCCCTACCCCCTCAACTTTTACCTCTCATTGATTTAATTTTCTTTTAGCCTTAAATTAAGCAAACAACATATGAAGCAAAAGTAAAGCAAAGACAAAAACAAACAAACAAACAAACAAACAAGCCCCACCACAGTATAGTTACTTTCATATAAAGAAGGACTGAACGTTTGCAGATTGACAAATTATGAGACAAACAAACTAAAACACTATTACGAACAACATTACCGCACTGGTTAACCCTGTTTTCTTCATTCTTATATTTGTTAAAAATGTGTTTTTTATATTTCATTTTAAACTGGTTTATGTTGTTACTTTCTTTCATTTCTTCTCTTAGACTGTTCCATAATTTAACTCCTGCTATAGAGATAGAACAACTTTAAAAAGTATGTCTAACACTTTGTATTTTTAGATTCCATTTCCCTCTTAAGTTATACCCACCTTCTCTTTCTATAAACAATTTACAGATTTCTTTTGGAAGCATTTTATTTCTTACTTTATATATTATTTGCACTGTTTTAAACTCCACCAAGTCTTGGAATTTAATAGCTTGCATTTTGAAAAATAGTCTATATGTATGATCCCTGTACCCTGCATTATGTATTAATCTGATGGCCCTTTTCTGTATTATATTTATTATAAATTATAAATAGCATCTTCTATCTGAGCATCCCTCCCTTGCTCAGCTGTTCCCTAGCCGTTATAGGTAGGAGTCATATACATGCCGCCGCTGCCTCAGTTTGGACTGGCTATATATTTTTGTTGATTGATGCAACTTGTGGTTTGTAGAGATCACCTGCAGATTATTTGCCCTGAGGCCTTCCATCTATCTATTTTGTGCTGTACATTCAGTTATTTTACTTGGTAGTTAACAATGTCTGCTTTCTCTGAGAATCAATGCCGTTTGATCGGTATGTAACTTTGACTTGCAAAGATCTTAGCATTATTCCTGTCACCATTGTTATGCTAAATTTAAAGGAACATTTCTGTACACCTACACTCTATTTTACAAATGAAATATTTATACGAGTAATTTATGTATATTAATAAAGTGACTATCCATCCATTCATCCATTCTCCTCCACTTATTTTTCTCCCCCTTAATAAAGTGTATTTATCTGAAATACATTTCAGAGGCGACATTGAGGCGACATTTGTTGTGATTTGGCGCTATATAAATAAAATTGAATTGAATTGAATTGAATTGAAATATATCATTGCTAATTTGAACCAGCTAACTTGGCAACAAGCACACTGCATTGCTCTACAACTTACTAAACCGCAGCAGCATGGATAGTGATATCCTTTATTTGCTGTGGAAACATGAGTCATCATGGTGTGGCTAAAGTATTACCCGATTGAAAAACTTTTTTTTTTATCCTGCTTTTAGAAATACTTACAGTGTAAATAATCGTAGTTTGGTTGAAGCCAAAATGGTTAACA